GCAGGTACTGGAGTTTCTTACACAGTATAACATTCCAACAGGTACTGGAGTTTCTTACACAGTATAACATTCCAGCAGGTACTGGAGTTTCTTACACAGTATAACATTCCAGCAGGTACTGGAGTATCTTACAGAGTGTAACATTCCAGCAGGTACTGGAGTTTCTTACAGAGTGTAACATTCCAGCAGGTACTGGAGTTTCTTACAGAGTGTAACATTCCAGCAGGTACTGGAGTTTCTTACAGAGTGTAACATTCCAGCAGGTACTGGAGTTTCTTACAGAGTGTAACATTCCAGCAGGTACTGGAGTGTCTTACAGAGTATAACATTCCAGCAGGTACTGGAGTTTCTTACACAGTATAACATTCCAGCAGGTACTGGAGTTTCTTACACAGTATAACATTCCAGCAGGTACTGGAGTTTCTTACACAGTATAACATTCCAGCAGGTACTGGAGTTTCTTACACAGTATAACATTCCAGCAGGTACTGGAGTATCTTACAGAGTGTAACATTCCAGCAGGTACTGGAGTTTCTTACAGAGTGTAACATTCCAGCAGGTACTGGAGTTTCTTACAGAGTGTAACATTCCAGCAGGTACTGGAGTTTCTTACAGAGTGTAACATTCCAGCAGGTACTGGAGTTTCTTACAGAGTGTAACATTCCAGCAGGTACTGGAGTTTCTTACAGAGTGTAACATTCCAGCAGGTACTGGAGTATCTTACGGAGTGTAACATTCCAGCAGGTACTGGAGTTTCTTACTCAGTAAGAAAAACTGCAGTACCAGCAGGTACTGCAGTTTTCTGACACATCTTCCACTGGCCACACAGGTACCTATTTTCACTGCTAGGTGGGAAGGGGCAGGTGGGGTGTAAAGAATCATACCCATATGTTTCTCTGTTTTTGTCTGTGTGGGGGGGGGGGGGGTGGAAGCATGTGGTGGGAGGGGATGGAAGCCTGTAGGAAGGGAGTGGGGAAGGGGTTGTGCAGCGTGTGTGTGGGGGGCAGTATAGGTGGGGGAACCCCTCACACAGCTGCAGCTGGGTGTGTAAGGTTTCGAGGATTAGATCGCGCTTCGTGACGCAACGTGGGATCGGGGCCTTTATACTGAGGATTAAGACCGACGCTATGTGGATTACCATTCTTCTACTGATTCACCGCCTCCAATTCAACACTGATGTAACAGCCTTTCTCCATAACTTGTCTTCCTCTTGCCTCTCAGTGTAATTATTGCTCGCTTGCTCTTTTCCTCTCTTCCTGCCTTTTTTCTCTGTTTCTGTTGTCTTTCTCTATTTCTGTTGCCTTTCTGTTTCTCTTGTCTTTCTCTGTTTCTGTTGTTTTCTCTATTTCCGTTGTCTTTATCTGTTTTTGTCTTTCTGTTTCTGTTGTCTCTCTCCGATGTGTGTTTCAACTGCGTCTTTCTCTGTTTCTGGAGTTTACCTGGAGAGAGTTCCGGGGGTCAACCCCCCCCGCGGCCCGGTCTGTGACCAGGCCTCCTGGTGGATCAGAGCCTGATCAACCAGGCTGTTACTGCTGGCTGCACGCAATCCAACATACGAGCCATAGCCCGGCTGGTCAGGTACCGACTTTAGGTGCTTGTCCAGTGCCTGCTTGAAGACTGCCAGGGGTCTATTGGTAATCCCCCTTATGTATACTGGGAGGCAGTTGAACAGTCTCGGGCCCCTGACACTTATTGTATTGTCTCTTAACGTGCTAGTGACACCCCTGCTTTTCATTGTTGTGTCTCTCTTTCCGTTGTCTTTCTCTAGTATGTTTCCGTTTCTGTTGTATCCTCCTGATTCTGTTTTATATTTGTTTCCGTTATCTCTGAATTGTCTTTATCTATTTCCGTTGTCTCTCTCTGTTTCTGTTGCATCTCTCACTGCGCCTGTTGTCTCTCTCGTATATTTCCCAGTCACCGTTGTGTTTTCTCTCTGTTTACGTTGTATCTTTCCCAGTGTGAACAATAATTGCTCTCATTCACCATTTTCCTCCTTTTAAAACCTTTGCCTATTGCGTTTAAAATCTCTCTCTCTCTCTCTCTCTCTCTCTTCTCTCTCTCTCTCTCTCTCTCTCTCTCTCTCTCATGATACTTGGATATTGTTATATTAAATGACATAAATATTTTTTTTCAGAGAGGGATAAATCCTGCCTGAGGTGAGCATGTCAGTAGCTGAGCTCCGCTTACACACTCTTGTTCTGGTACAAAACTGTTGTTCTGGTACAAAACTTTTGTTCTGGCACAATGATATTGCTCTGGTGTAATACTTGTTCTGGTGCAAAACTGTTGTTCTGGTACAAAACTTTTGTTCTGGCACAATGATATTGCTCTGGTGTAATACTTGTTCTGGTCCAAAACTGTTGTTCTGGTACAAAACTTTTGTTCTGGCACAATGATATTGCTCTGGTGTAATACTTGTTCTGGTGCAAAACTGTTGTTCTGGTACAAAACTTTTGTTCTGGCAGAATGATATTGCTCTGGTGTAATACTTGTTCTGATACAAAACTTTTGTTCTGGTACAAAACCGTTCTAGTGCAAATTTTTTGTCCTGGTAAAAAATTGTTGTTCTGGTACAACGCTGCTGTTCTGGCACAAAACTGTCATTCCTGCCTCTCTCCATTCATGAAACAACGGTACTCAACTGGAACAGTATCATGCTGGAACAACGGTACCAGACTACAAAAGAAACGGACGTTAAGAACAGTACCCGAGTGGTACAATGATACCAGAACATAACAGTAACAGACTGGAACAATGATACCAGAATATAACAGTACCAGACTAGAACAACGGTACAAGAATACAACAAGAGTACCAGAGTGGAACAACGGTACAAGAGTACAAGAGTGGAACAACGGTACAAGAGTACAACAAGAGTACCAGAGTGGAACAACGGTACAAGAATACAACAAGAGTACCAGAGTGGAACAACGGTACAAGAGTACAACAAGAGTACCAGAGTGGAACAACGGTACAAGAGTACAACAAGAGTACCAGAGTGGAACAACGGTACAAGAGTACCAGAGTGGAACAAAGGAACAAGAATACAACAAAAGTACCAGAGTGGAACAATAACTTAGATAAACAGTACCAGACTTGGAACAACATCAGTAGACGTCAACTCTTATGTACAGTTTCAAGGCAAAAAAAATTATCAGCCACTGGTGCTGGAATCAAACAACCCAGCTAGGGGCCAGGAGCTGCACCTCGACCCCTGCAACCACAATTAGGTGAGTACACACACACACACACACACACACACACACACACACACACACACACACAAGTCTTGGAACAATAACGCAAAAACCTCAAGGGATTAAGCTCTACTCATGAGCTTGCAAATCTATATAGCGATGAGAGAGAGAGAGAGAGAGAGAGAGAGAGAGAGAGAGAGAGAGAGAGAGAAGTGACTTCATGACTAAACGTGTAAGACGGAGCTTTAGCTTCTACAGAAGATTATCTGATGCTGGCTTTTATTCCCTCTGATCCACACAGCTCACATTCTCTCTCTCTTTCTTTATCTCTCTCTCTCTCTCTCTCTCTCTCTCTCTCTCTCTCTCTCTCTCTCTCTCTCTATCTCTCTCTCTATCTCTCTCTCTCACTCCTCTGTCTCTGTCTCTCAGGTATAAAGAATATCAACTCCTCGTGGGGTCATGAAGGCTACAATTCACCTGCACACTAACACCAAAGCAACTGTAATCCACGAGTTAACGATCATTATTCACTATCAGTGGATATACACACCGAGAAACGCACCTTCCTCGTATATATACAAATATATACATACAAACTTCTCCAAGTATATACGCAAAGAGAAGAGATACACACCTAGTCGTATATACACGTACTGTGCGAATATATATATATATATATATATATATATAATATATATATATATATATATATATATATATATATATATATATATATATATATATATCCTTTGCCTGTTTGACAGTCTATCTCGCTCTCAAACTTTTTCTTTTTTTTCCTATCCGAAACTCCGCGGCCCTCCCTGCTGCTGTCATCCCCCTGCGAGCCTGGCTAATATCCTACCTGAAAAAAATATATATAAAACGCGTGCAAAAAAAAAAAAAAAAAAAAAAGAAGTAACTGGGAAACACAGACACAGTTTATCTTTAGCGAATTTGCTAAAGAAATGTCAGGTTCCGTTGCGTTTAAACTGGCAAGACTGTGTGTGACGGTTGTGAAGGCGAGGCTTGTGGAGGCTACAGTATCAGCCATGAGTGTGTATATGTCTCAACACCCACTCATTAATAATAATAATAAATAATAATGATAATAATAATAGTAATAACAAAAATAATATTATTATTATTATAAGTAGTAATAATAGTAGTAGCGGTAGTAGTTGTGGTGGTAGTAGTAGTAGTAGTAGCAGTATTAGTAATATTATTAGTAGTAGCACTAATCGTAGTTGTAGTTGTAGGAAAGGGAGTATCTACCGGTATATAAGAATATATACGAACTCAGTTAAAGAACGTACAGGAAGCACCTTCCACTAGACAGAACGTACAGGGAGCACCTTCCACTAGACAGAACGTACCGGAAGCACCTTCCACTAGACAGAACGTACAGGGAGCACCTTCCACTAGACAGAACGTACAGGGAGCACCTTCCACTAGACACAACGTACAGGGAACACAAATAAGGGAGTACCTTCTACTAGACAGAACGTACAGGGAGCACCTTCCACTAGACACAACGTACAGGGAACACAAATAAGGGAGTACCTTCTACTAGACAGAACGTACAGGGAACACCTTCCACTAGACACAACGTACAGGGAACACAAATAAGGGAGTACCTTCTACTAGACAGAATGTACAGGGAGCACCTTCCACTAGACAGAACGTACAGGGAGCACCTTCCACTAGACAGAACGTACAGGGAGCACCTTCCACTAGACAAAACGTACAGGGAGCACCTTCCACTAGACAGAACGTACAGGGGAACACAGGTAAGGGAGCATCTACCTGTAGATACGGACGTGAAGGGTGGCAAGGGGTGCCACATCACATAACACCTCAGCCACGGTCTTGTCCTCAGTCTCAGGGATGTGCTCTAAGGGCAGTGGCCGCCAGTTCCTCAGTTGTAGAAGACCTGCAGAAGGCCAGGCAGTAAGCAAGGGTTACCCTTCTCTTCCTCCTGCTGCTGCTCATGTCAACACCATCAATATAAGAGAATCATTAACAAAAACTAAAATCAACTGGCACTCATGAAAGTCTGTACTGAATATAGTAAAAAATAAGGTTCAGAAGGAAGGAAAGAATGATAGAAACAAGAAACAAAATAATGCAGCGAGGAAGGCAGGAAGGAAGCGCCAAAGAAAGGCTTAGAACAAGCAGAAAGACAAGAATGGGCGGGAAGGAAGACAAGAATAGGCAGGAGAGAAGACTGAGAATAGGCATGAAGGAAGTATTGAAGAAAGACTGAGAACAAGGCAGGCAGGAAGCACTGAAGAAAGTCTGAGAACAAGGTAGGCAGAACCACTGAAGAAAGACTGAGAACAGGCAGGCAGGAAGCACTAAAGAAAGACTGAGAACAAGGGAGGAAGAACTGAAGAAATACTGGGAAGAGGCAGGCAGGAAGCACTGAAGAAAGACTGAGAATAAGGTAGGAAGGAAGCACTAAAGAAAGACTGAGAACAAGGCAGGGAGGAAGAACTGAAGAAAGATTGAGAACAGGCAGCAGGAAAGGCTGAGAGAAGAGCGAGGACTCACCCCTGGCATATATAAGTTCCTCAGAATAGCCAAGTTTAACCAGCGCTGCCTGAAGCAGGTCAGTGAAGCGGGTGTTGCCAGAGATGAGGGCGTAGGTGTCCATCTCTATCCTTCCCCGCAGCTCCTCCATCCCTACACCACATAGAGGGATAGTCTCGATCACCACGTGCAGAGGGATGTTCTTACCTGAGAGAGATCAGAGAGAGAGAGAGAGACAGGTCAGTTACTTGTTCCAAAACCTACTGCCTGCACTTGGGTCATCTGGCAGCAGTTACCTACAATAATATAAAAAAATACTTTCATTTAGAATACAGGAAATAAAGTAAACTATACGTGTATATACATGAATGGAGGGATATACACATTTTGATGCGATCACAATATGCAAAATAAGTACCTTGAAAAAATAAGTGAATTTCCAAGCGATTTCATGATTTCTCACATTAACAGTTCCTTCATAATATGAGAAATCACGAAAGCGCTTGAAAAAATCACCATTTTTCCACATTTTGATGTATACATAATGAAATACACACCTCCTAGCATATATACACCGAGATACCTATTCTTGTATATACTCATACACTGAGATGCACACTTCTCAGCATATACACAGATTGTACACACCTCTAGGTGTAGTGTATACACTTGGCATCTACTCACTGTGGGTGTAGTAACAATATTAGCGCGGGTCATCAGGGGCAGAGAGCACGATTACTAACACATAGATAAACGACAGTGTCTGAGGATCCCTCCTCTACTTTCTCCTATCCAAAGGGGGTATACACATGTATTCCCTCGTGTTTGAAAGTGCTTTCAATACAAATTTTAAATCTAGAACGTGAAATTGCGTAACTGTGCATTCTCTTCCCTTCTAAAATTACACAATTCCAGAATAGCCAAATTATTATAATCAAGGGGGAAGCGCTAAACCCGGAGGATTATACAGCGCCTGGGGGGGGATGTGGAAGGCATTCAGGCTTAATTCGGGGAACTGGAGCACAGATCCAATTCCCTAAATCAAGAGCCCCTCACCAACATCAAGGAACCTTCCTTGAGGGGACAGAATAGCCAAAGATTTGCAGATGAGACAATGAGAGTCACTGTTTGGAACTTGAAAAGCTGAATACCTTGTTAGGTGGTAGTTTTAAGCATGAGAGGAGAAACATCAAAGTGTAGCAGAGACTTGTGGATGAGACGAGGAAACCCATGGAGAACGTATTAGATAGTTTTATAGCACTGTACTGTGTTCATGTTTGGTTTCCTCAACTCACAAGAGAAGAACGACATGATAGCTCAGAAGTGACCTCCACTCTGGACCAGACATCATCATCAGCAGCGGCGGCAGCAACAACAACAACAACCTGGCTAATGTGCCTCAAGCCATACCATGGGCGGGGTTAGAACCCGCGAGCAGAGAGTGCAATCGTGTCATTACGATTTCGTAAATCCTAATGTGTCTCACTCTATACTTGAGGCTAATGCAGTGTTTCTGTGGTTATAGCCAGCACCAAGTACCAAGTACCAGCACCCACAGCTACCACCAATGCTGCATCAACCAACATCAGCAGGAATATTTTGCCACCGAGCAAACTACCCACGCCACCACAGACACCACCAGCAGCATCACCACAGATACCACCACAGGCACCACCAGCAACATCACCACAGATACCACCAGTACCACCACAGACACCACCAGTGCCACCAACGTCACAGACACAGCCACCATAGACACCACCAATACCACCAT